ATCTCAAAATATGTTGGTTCTAGGTTCATGCAAGCTTGAGTTACAATGTAATTGTCAGTTTCCACAACAAGTCTTGCTTGCAACAGGCCAGCAGACCAACATGGCTGCATCTCCAGAAGATAAAGTACTGGCAAAGGTTTCCCCTTGACATTAAGTCTAGTCAAGTCTGACTCTGGGCGGTGGTGCCCAGCCAAAGAGCCATCATTGCCTGTAGATGCTTCCTAGGTCATGTGGCCAGCATGACTGCATAAAGTGCCGTTACCTTCCCACCAAAGCAGTACCTATTGATCTACTTACACTTGCATGTTTTTGAAGTGCAAGGTTGGCAGAAGCTGGGGCTAGCAATGGGAGCTCACCCCGTACCACGGATTCAAACCGCCGACCTTCCATTCAGCTAGTTCTGCAAGCTTAGCACTTTAACCTGCTGTATTGCCACAGCCCCTCTCCAGAAGATATTCTTCAACAAATTTCAAAGCAAAAGCTATGGTAAAGAGGTTTTAACAAAAAAATCCCAGGATCTTTTGTTATGTGGCCCATTTCTTATACTGTACTTCCTACATTTGTCCCTAAATGTGCAAGAAGTAATTGGCATCATTGGGTAGAATTAGGCAGTTATAAAGGTTAGAATTCTAGTGAAAGGAAATGACATGATCATGATCACTGTTGCCCACTTCTCATGGCTCAAGGTGAGATACAACAATCAAAACACATCAACGTAAAATACATGCAACCAAATACATAGATCAAAACCCACTACTATAAAAAGCATACACCAAAACATAATAAGAGCCCCCAGTGGCGCAATGGGTTAAAACCTTGTGCCGGTGGGACTGCCGGTCAAAAGGTCGGCAATTCAAATCCAGGCAGCGGGGTGAGCTCCCACCTTTCAGCTCCAGCTTCTCATGCGGGAGCATGAGAGAAGCCTCCCACAGGATAGTAAATCATCTGGGCATTACTAGGCAACATCCTTACAGGGGACCAATTCTGTCATGCCAGAAGCAACTTACAGTTTCTCAAGTCACTCCTGACACAAAAACAACCCAAACATGTAATATAGTTAACACAAGAAAAAAGGCGCAGAAGGACACCTGGCAACAACAGCTGGGGAAGAAAAAAACTGTCAGTGGTATCAGTGGTGGTGACAATGAGAAGTTAGCTGTCCTCAAAAAGAAAACTTACCTTTGAAGCAACCTGAAAGATAAGGCTGTGGAAGGAAGGAATTGTAAAATTGCTCCTGCTGGGGTGCAAGTGATTTTTCAAGCTGGTAAAATTGAAGTTTGCTTTTAGCATTTCTTAAAAATCATTTTCAGAATGGGATGATTCAATCCTTTGATGCAGAATTCATTGATACAGTGGGCTGATGGCCATCTATCACCCATAAGCCAGTGCTGACAAAATGGAATGTTTACGCCTTCATTTGAATACTATAGAAATCAAGGGAGAATTATGCTAAGCAGAACATTAGACTAAAAATGCAGGAGACTATTCTGCTTCTGTTTGGTCTGCAAAACCTTGACATGGCATTTAGATTGCTTGGACATTCTAAAAACTGATTCCTTGGTTAAATAAATAAAGAATAAAATTATATTGAGTAAGGATGAGAAAAAATAGAGTTTTTCTATTGTGTTCTTCCTTCTTGAGAACTATTCTGCTTTAAGGAGCTGCACAGCAACATGGAGAATTCTTAATTAAAAATGTTGACACTCCCCAAGTAAGTTGTTAATTTTAAGAAAGCACAGATTTTAGATAATCTGTTAGATGGCTTGACTTCTCATATTTTGGCACCCGAAGGGACTGGGGTTGAGGTACTGAATTAATAAGTATCTCTGTCTGCAAGTGCTGGAATATATTTCAGTGCATTTATTATAAGATTGTTTTTAACTTGTCTAGTAAATAAACTAGAATTTCCTGTGGCTTAATTTTTGTTATTACATGCATTGTATTCTTACAATTCATCATGTCTGACCTGTTTACAACTCAGCAGGACAATTGCAAATGTAATTGCTTTTAGTATAATATGTTTAGTTGCAATATATGTTTACAAAATGTTTTGACTATAAACCTACTTGATGCAATCCTCTTTTCAAGACATTTTTTTCTTTATAGGAGACATCTAGTCACTGTAATTAAAGGTTACAAGCTCTTGTGTTGTTAGCAGTACTGACTTTAAAAATGATGAATATTTTTCCGCCTAGCTTTTTTTGTCTTTGGTGGGAACATTAGCAAAGTCATGAATGTTGCTTGTTTTGTCTTAAAATGGTGCCCAAAGAGTTTTGTGCATTATCTTTTATGTAATATTATTTTTTAAAAGATAGTTAAAAGTGAAATCTTCACAGAGGAGAATATTTTGGTTTACAAATGTTTTGAATTGCACATGTGTGAAACCATTTATTTCTCTTCCTTTATTTCACATGTGTGCTGTGTGAAATAATTAAGCAGTGTGAAATGGGGTAGGGGTGCAATGTTTCTTATGATAAAAGGCATTAGATGCCTTTCTAACTACAGTTTTATTTACAGAGGCTTATGTAAAAAATGGGAATACATCTGGAAAAATATATTTCTGTTATGTTTTCCAAATTGCACACCCATTAGTAAAATATATTGGTTTTATCCCCCAAAGTGTATTGCAAAATTGAGCAAGGGGGATGGAATTAACTGTTCATGAAAGACATTCCAATTATATCCCAATTAACAAAGTAGAGGGGTTCCTTACCTTGACTTCACTAACACTGATACCAAAGGTAAAAAGAAATAATATGAAAAGACTACATATAGGTTCCAACACGACAAAACAACTAGAGCACTGGTTCCCAACCTTTTCTTGACCAGGGATAACTTTGACCAGGGACTGCTTTCCAACATTAGTACCAAAGGGGTTATGAATCAGTTTTTGATCAACTTTAGACTTGGTTCGAAGTGCTGATTCAGAAAATTGCATTGGATAGACCACATTGGCTCTAGTTTTGATACAGAACATATGCCATGGTCAGACACAGGGAAGGAGTGGTAGGCGGTGCGAAAGGAGCAGAAGTAAAATAAATATAATAAAAGAAATAAAGAGGAGGGAGGCTCACGGACCAGATTTTTGTCCTCACGGCCCACTGGTGGTCCATGGCTCACAGGTAAAGAACTCCTGAACTAGAGCAAGAAACCTTATTAAGTGACATTTGGAATCTTCTAGAGCAGTGGTTCTCAACCTTCCTAATGCTGCGACCCCTTAATGCATTTCCTCATGTTGTGATGACCCCCAACCATAACTTCATAACTGTGATGTTGCTTCTACACCAGTGGTCCTCATCCTTCCTAATTCCACGAGCCCTTAATACAGTGACCCCCAACCATCTTCTTGTTGTGGTGATCCCCAACCATCACATTATTTTTTTTTTGCTTCTTCATAACTGTAATTTTGCATCTACACCAGTGATTCTCATCCTTCCGAATGCAGCGACCCCTTAATACAGTTCCTCATGTTGTAGTGACCTCCAAACATAACTTCATAACTGTAAGGTTGCATCTACAGTCGTGGTTCCCAATCTTCCTAATGTTGTGGTGACCCCCAACCATAATTTCATAGCTGTAATTTTGCATCTACACCAGTGGTTCTCAACCTTCCTCATGTTGTGGTGACCCCCAACCATCACATCATTTTTGTTGCTACTGTACTTCATACTGTAATTTGGCTACTGTTATGAATCGTAATGTAAACATCTGATATGCAGGATGTATTTTCATTAACTGGACCAAATTTGGCACAAATACCCGATACACCCAAATTTGAATACTCGTGGGGTTGGAGGGGGGAGGGGAGTTGATTTTGTCATTTGGGAGTTGCTGGGATTTATAGTTCACCTGCAATCAAAAAGCATTCTGAACTCCACTCGTAACAGAATTGAACCAAACTTGGCACACAGAACTCCCATGACCAACGGGAAATACTGGAAGGGTTTGGTGGGCATTGACCTTGAGTTTAGGAGTTGTAGTTCACCTACATCCAGAGAGCACTGTGGATTCAAACAATGATGGATCTGGACTAAATTTGGTACAAATACTCAATATGCCCAAATGGGAACACTGTTGGAGTTTGGGGAAAATAGAGCTTGACATTTGGGAGTTGTAGTTGCTGGCATTATAGTTCACCTACAATCAAAGAGCATTCTGAACCCCACCAACGATAGAATTGTGCCCAAGTTCCCAGACAGAAACCCCGTGATCAACAGAAAAGACTGTGTTTTCTGATATCTGGTGACACCTCAAGCATACTCTCGCGACCCCCACAGGGGTCCCGACCCCCAGGTTGAGAAACACTGTTCTAGAGGCTAATGGAGAGCTGCTTTCAAAATGCGTCCTGGGTTTTTTTTATTTTTACTTTCAACAGATTCCACTTTTTTAACAATTTATATTTTGATGACAAAGCTTATAGATATGTGCTCTTTTTTAAAAAAAATAAAATAAAATGGCAAGATAGCTGGCAAGGCCGGCTAATCTTTCCTGTGCTCCCTTTTTGTTCTTTATATATGTTCAGAAAGCGATTCTAGAGGCATCTATATACCTTTCCTGTTGTAAGCATATGCAACTACAGTAGGATCACCTAAACTAAAATCCCATTCTTTCTCAGACCATGCTTTATTTCTTGAATAGTTTACTTCAGGCACTCTGCTACAACCCAACACTGAAAAAAACTTTTCCCAGTCCTACTTCAACATCACTCTAATGCCAATGATGGAAATGAATAAAAGTAAAATACAAACTAGATAGAAGACAAGAAAGGCAGCAAGGGCTAGTCTGGATTCCCATAAAGAGAATGTGCAAAAAGATACTCTTGGTCAGAGGCTTTATCAACTGAGGTATGGCTGTATTCGTTTTTTGGGTGGAAGGGTATCAATCATTCCTGCTCAGAAATCATTCCTGCTCAGAGCAGTGAAAAAAGTAAGCATGTTTCCACACAAGATAATCATATTACAAATGCAGTGCCTTAATCTATTCTTTTCTTCTGACTGCAGGTCCAGCAAGACGAAAGGGATAATAATGTCGAAGCTGCTACAGATGACTATAAAAAGATGGGAACTCTTTTTGGTGAACTCAACAAAAGTCTCATCAGCATCGGCTTCACAAGGATGTATTTTGGTGAACGCATCGTGGAGCCTGTAATTGTCATGTTCTTCTGGGGTATGCTCTGGTTCCTTGGTCTACAAGCTCTTGGACTCGTAGCTGTCCTGTGCCTTGTCATTATTTATGTTCAGCAATAAACTCTTGGAGGTTAGATAGCGATTTCTTTTTGGTGAATTTTGGACCATTTGAATGGATACTTCATTTTGAACTATCTTGGTGGATTTACATGCTTAGCCAAACAAGAATGATATACCAGTATCATAAGCTACTCTGTTGGACATTAAATGGCCATTAAAATTATGCACTCTTTCCTTTAAGCTGACATTATCTTCATAATTGAAAAGGAAACAAATGAAAACATACCATGAATTGATGATTAAGAGGCTTAACCCAGGACAGTGAAATCTATTCTTTTTTATTATTCTTTTTTAAAGATTGTTGAATTAAACTAGTTCCTGTGGGCTCCAGTTCTAAGAGGCTTTTTTGGGTATAAAAACAAACCTGTCAAAAGTAGGTCAACAGAGATTTTATAGTTATGCTGCAACTACTTTCAAATAATAGCTTTTTCTATTGGTAATCAAACTTTAAAAAGCCAGTTTGTATAAGTTTTTATGCTGCCTGGTTTTATAGCATCCTGTAAATTTATTTGCAGACTTCTTCAGCATGACGATGTATATATGCAGTCTTACGATTTTTTTCTGTATGAATTACAGAAATGCATCATTTTTTATTTTGCCAGGATGATCTAATACTTCTGAAGTTTTTTACCATGCCATGTCTCCACTGTCTTCTTTTCTTCTAGGACACTGTTGTTGCTCCATTGGACAAAATGATAATGCCCTTTTTGTTTGTAATGAGCTTCTGGTTTTGTTGTGTTCTTTTTCTGAGGTCTTTCTTTCCATAAGCATATCAGACTTGTTACAAGAACAGCAAAAGATTGTAACTATACACTTCCTTTCCTCTCTTTGTAATAATGGGATTAGAGCCACTCTTGATGGACTTAGAAATGATAGGTTATAACAATTTGTCTATCTTGAATTAGGTCCGTATTCTTTTAAAGTATGAATCAAATTAGGCAGTTACTGAAAACATTCTTGCTGCCACTCTGTGCTAGCATGGTATATGTACGTATATAGTATTGTTTCCATCTGAAATAGAAAAATAAGTAATTTTTATTAAGCACAGAAGAGGCTAAAAGTTTTCTACTACTACCAAAGTTAATATGCCATGTACAAATTCACTGATTAAGTGGAAACTGCTGCAGACATTCATAGCAGTGACCAAAGCCATTAAGGTAGATGCAGTTATGTTTATGTTCAGTACAAATCAGCTCACTTCCACTTCACGGGTCATGCTTCTTGTTACACAACTTATAATTTACTATCTAATATTGTTCTCTAGTGCTTGCTAAATGTGCTTTAGTGATGCTATGTGTATATGTTGTGTTTATAAAATATTGTGAATCTGATTTTACTGATTTGCAAAGCAAAAGCATTTTTGAATGAGATGATGCCAGGGAGAGAATACTGAGGAATAAATAGTTCATTTATCACAGCCATAGATACATCAGCATTTTTTTTTCATTTCCAGAAGTATCTAAAAAAATGGAGCAGACAATTTCCACTTGTTATCCATCTTCTTTGCAGCCTGACTGGACAATTCCTGTCCTTCCAACTTGTATAGCTGATTTTTGCATAGAATTATTATTATTATTATTATTATTATTATTATTATTTTAAAAGGTAAAGGTTTCTCTTTCACATTAAGTCTAGTCAAGTCCAACTCTGCAAGGTGGTGCTCATCTCCATTTCTAAGCCGAAGAGCAGGCATTGTCTGTACTCACATTTGCATGTTTTCAAACTGCTAGGTTGACAGAAGCTGGGGCTAACCACAGAAGCTCAACCCATCCACGGATTTGAACCACCAACACAAGTTCTGCAGCTTAGCAGTTTAACTGGCTGCACCACTGTGGGCCCATTATTATTATTATTATTATTATTATTATTATTATTATCTTTATTTATACCCTGCCTTTCTCCTAGTGGAGACGCAAGGCGGTTAACAATGCCACTTTAGTCATGGTTTAAAAAGGCGCAATACAATTTTTTTAAAAAAACAACAACAAATAATACAGTGTGGATTAAGATAAAAAAACAATTAAAATATAATACACTTAAAATGGCCTTCAAAACACACACACACACACACACACCAGCAGTAGAGAGCAATTAGTGAAAATCTACCTAATCTTTTGGCTCCAAAGGCCCGCTGCAAATTACCCAAATGTCATCATATTCTTACTATATTGCAATATAAACTGCACAATTGATGTGTTATTGCACCACAACTTTTCAAAAACAATGCCTGATTTGTATTGAAATGGGTGTTAATAACTTTACTGCTTTGAAAAAGTAGTTGTTTGGGACTAAAATATGTTCCAAATTAAGAGTTGTTTTGCACTTTTTAATAATCTCCACTGTATTAGAAAAATTTGTTATTGTCACTTAACACTGAAATAAGAACACCAACTTTTTTTAAAGTCTACTCTGTTTGGTTCATGCAAATGTTTCATTTAAAAAAAATTAAAAATGGGTGATATTTGAAGGTTTTGTTTTTGCAGTAAATCTTTTCTAAAAATGTTGTTGTTCTATTGGCTGTGAACATTTCTAATCATTTTGTAGAATATCAAAATCAGACCTAATAGTTTTATATCTCTGAAGGCTACTCTGAAGCCTTTGATAAGCACCCAAAGCTTTTGCCATCTTTAGTGGAGCCATTAAAATACAGTAGAATCTTGCTTATCCAACCTTTGCTCATCCAACATTCTATATTATCCAACGCAGTCTGCCTCCCACCCGGATTCACAGCTGTTTCAATATATTGCAATTACAGTAATTACTATACAATGTTACCATGCATTGAACTGCTTTTTCTGTCAATTTGTTGTAATACATGTTTTGAAAAACCCATGAAGGCAGGAGCCACAACTTAAGCTTTGGAATGAATCCAATTTAAGCTTTGGAATTTGCAAAACGGGGTCATTTGGCTATGGTTTGTCATAGTAGCATTTTGGGCTCCACTTCAGAAGCTAAAGCTGTTGGTTTGAAAAGAATAGCGACAATGTCCATGTTCTGTTTCTTTAACTGTATTGTTGTTGCCACTTAGATACAAACTTCAGCACAGTTCTGGATGTGTTGAAATGATTGGAAATTATGTAGAAAGGAAGATGTGTTGGATTGTTTTTACACATACCTTCATTGTGAAGGCAACATTGTGAAGCCTTATTCAGGATCTCTGCTTTGTATATATTTACGTATATTTATGTGAGGGTATTTAAGACAAATCACAACTCAGGCTATCCAATTGAGATTAGATTTTGTTGTTGTTGTTGCTGCTGCTGCTGTATAGCCTGTGAATCCACATTTTGGGATATTTTCATCTTAAATTATTTGTTATTCAGAATTGCAGGTGTAGCCCCTTCCACACAGCTGAATAAAATCCCACGCGATCTGCTTTGAACAGGAATATATGGCAGTGTGGACTCAGATAATCCAGTTCAAAGCAGATATTGTGGGATTTTCTGGCATGATATACTGGGTTATATGACTGTATGTAAGGGCCCAAAGAAACAGGAGTAGGAAGGGAAGTAAACATGGGTTTTTTTCAGATATATGTTCGTTGGATTGATTGAGTCTATGGGAAAGTGGGACTATTCAGTGTTTCATTTGCATATGTTCTCTTCCTGCTGAAGCTTTCTTCACCTTTCAGAGCTGCATGCAGTGTGGTGGAAATGGATGAAGACAACCATGAAATGGGCAATCTCCCATGTATGTAACTATACACGGAGGAATCTTTGAAACATCAACTGTCAACGAACTCATGGAATTGGCCTGGTTGGGAAATGCTGCAATACACCAATGTTAAATTATTTCTTTAGAAATATTTGTACTTTCAGAACATTCAGTCTTTTGTTTGTTTTTTTCTAATAAAACATCCTCTGAGTGCTCAAATTTCTGACTGATATTCCTTCCTGATATTTTCCACTAAGTGCATATTTAAGCATGGGAACATTGAAAGGCACAGCTGCATTTTGAAATTCTCTTGATTCAGTGTAGCTTGAAACATCTAGAAGTATTTGTCACCCACCATAGCAGGCATAATTTTAATCTGAGCAGAAGAAAAAGGGTCATGATTAACCACTTCCTTTTTATAGTATAAAATAGCCTGAACTCACTTTGAACAGATTTGGGCATTGTGAGACAGTGCTAAAAATGCTAGATTTAAGCACCATCAGACCACTCCATCAAAATTCTGTCTAACCAAATTATATGAAAAAAAAAATCCAAGAGCTGCAATTATATATAGTTTATGTTTTTTATCTCTCATCATCATCATAGGTGATCACTTGTGGCCAAGTATGATCATCTTCCAAAAGTAGTCTTGGCAATGAGTCTGCAAGTGACTGTGAAGACCTGTTCTGGATCCATATAGTCTTTCACATTGAGGACATAGGTTCTCTGATGGAAGGTGGTCATGACATGCCTTCCTCTTTCTCCCTTTCTCCCTATATTCATGCCTCTTTTACAATTCATAACACCATTGATAACAGCTGACCTCCAGTTACAGCACTCAAGTGCCAGGGCTTACCAGTTCTCAATGTGTATTTCACTTTTTTAAAATGTTTGCTTTAAGCCCATCTTTCTTTTCTTTTCTTTTTTTGTTGACCACCGACCTTTTGTTTTTTTTGTTCTTGAGCTGAGAGTAAAGTAACTGCTTTGGGAGATGGTGATCAGACACTTCGACAATGTGGTATGTCCAATGGAGAGTTATCGTTTCAATGCTGGTGGTCTTTGCTTTTTCCAGAACACTGACATTTGTACGCCTGTCTTGCCAAGAGGATTTTTCAAAAGCAACACTGATTGAATCTTTCCAGAAGTCTAGAGTGGCATTTGTAGGTGGTCCATATTTTGCAGGCATACAACAGAGTTGATAGAACAATATCCCTCGCAGGGAGAGAGGCAGGGAGATGATGGAAGAGCTGTATATTTCTATATAAGATCCATCTTTCCCACATTTTATTACAAGGGTCCGGACATCAGCTTTCAAAAGTAGTACCATATCAGTATTCTGATTTTTCTGGTTTTTTGGCTACTGAAGCTGGATCTACACTGTCATATACAGATTATCTGCTTTGAACTGGATTATATGGCAGTGCAGACTCATACAACCCAGTTCAATGCAGATAATGTGGATTATCTGACTTGATAATCTGGATTATATGGCAGTATAGATCCAACCTGATACATAATAATAATAATAATAATAATAACAATAATAACAATAATAATAACAACAACAACTTTATTTATAACGTACCACCATCTGCCAAAACGGACTTGGGCAGCTTTCAAAAGCACATAATAGTGCTGCAAGAACATACAAATATAGTAAAATACATAAACATTTATACAATAACAGTATCAATTGACATAAAACAGATTTCCATAAAAGCAGCATACAAAAACCACATGGCCTTGTAGACACGAGATGAGAATCCTAAAAATGTTTGAAAGATATGTTTCTTGAGCGTTCAGAAACATTGACAAAAATAATTAAGTGATAAACTCCCAGGCCAACCTATGGTTAATGTATAAGAAACTTCCAGATGTAGGACAATATCAGCACTTTACCATAACAAATAGAGTGTGTTGACTTTAGCAAAGGAAAGAGCTTGAAAGAATACACTGAAAAAGAGTTGGATAATAGAGGCTATCGAAGAAATATAATCAAGAATTAAAGAAATAAATCATAATTCTCCATTTTTAAAAAATCAAATATTCGGAAGTTTGTTTTCTGCTGCTCCAGAGAGTAGGACATGGAGCAATGTATTGGAACTACAGGGAAAGAGTTTACATCTAAGCATTAAGCAGAACTTTCTGATGGCAAGAGCCATCAGAATATTCTGCCTCAGAGTGTGGGAAGCCATCTTCTTTGGTGGTTTTTAAAAGTGAGACTGGATGATCATCTGTCCAGGGTGCTTTGAACGTGTGTTCTTGTATGGCAGAGCATTGGACTGGATGACCCTTGACATCTCTTCCAGCTCAATGATTCCATATATCAGAAAAACTATTTCAACAACAAAGTCGGAAATGTGGATACTGTTACATACTGCTATGTCACCAAATAGTTTGTTATATATTGGTAGATAACAGCCCTGTTACATCCTTTAGACCGCTGATCCTCAGGCTATTCAATAAGGTGGTCTGGCAGTTATTATTTTTCCAGTGTTCCAGGGATAAACACTAAATTTATACCCATTATGTACAATTGTTTCTTTGTTTCCTGGTAATTTACCGGGGACCAACTGCTAATGGCTGATGCTATCCTAGGAACTAATTTTGAGTAGTACTGCTTTAAATCATAACTAACAATGTAGCATATGTTTCTTTTGTCTGCCATCAAGTCATTTCCAGTTTATGATAAACATATCACAAAAATGTCATGGGTTTCCTGGGGATATTTGTTCAGCACAGGTTTGCCATATCCATCCTCTGTGTAGTTGCAAAGATGGTTGAACCGGGATTCAAATCCTTGTCTCCCAGAGTCCTAGTTCAGTACTCAATCTGCTACACTACTTCAGATCCGCAGTGCATGTCTAAGGCCCCTTCTACACTGCTATAGAAAATCCAGATTATCTGCTTTGAATTGTATTATATGGCTGTGTGGACTCTTATAATCCAGTTCAAAGCAGATAATGTGGACTAGAGAGGAGATATGATAGCCATGTATAAATATGTGAGAGGAAGCCACAGGGAGGAGGGAGCAAGCTTGTTTTCTGCCTCCCTGGAGACTAGGACACGGAACAATGGCTTCAAACTACAAGAAAGGAGATTCCATCTGAACATGAGGAAGAACTTCCTGACTGTGAGAGCCATTCAGCAGTGGAACTCTCTGCCCCGGAGTGTGGTGGAGGCTCCTTCTTTGGAAGCTTTTAAACAGAGGCTGGATGGCCATCTGTCAGGGGTGATTTAAATGCAATATTCCTGCTTCTTGGCAGGAGGTTGGACTGGATGGCCCATGAAGTCTCTTCCAACTCTTTGATTCTA